TGAGATGCTCATGTAAGACCTTTCTGATAATTTTGACTGTTTGGCTATACTAGACAGGGCTTCTAGTCCTACCGTTTTGATAGAAAACAGGCCACTTCAATGGAATGAATTGGCCTGTTTTCATTCACTTTTTCCCCCCATCGCGCTTCCTCCCAAATCAATTCATTCATTTGCATCTACAGCCTATTTCCTTCTCTGTACTAATATTACGAGCAGGTTGATCCTTCAGAAGGATACTTACCAAGAGGGACAAAAAGGGCCGAAACACACCCCACAGCTACCAGCTAAGTCCTGTGACTTGACCTCTGCCAGCGTCTCCCCAGAGAAATGGCATTAATTTCCATAAAGGCTCCGCTTGGGTTCCCTGGGGCCCGGCTCCGGTCTTTGGTTCAGTAGCTACCTCTTGGCCACCTTCCTCAGCACAGGCTTTTCTTCCCCGGGACCTGTGTGTTTGCAGAAATCTTCTGTCCAGGAGGCACCAGGCTCTGAATCCATATTGAACCCACAGAAAGCACCTATCTACGGGTGGAACTGGCGGGCCTCAGGAGCCTCGCGCTCGAGACGGATGGCCGTGGGCTGATGGGAAAGGCAGCTCCTGTCACCGTCAGGGATGCAAGTTGGAAGCAAGTCCACCTTGCCCTGTCCTGTTGGAGAGAGGATGTGGGCCGAGCCTTATCAAAGGAGGAAAACCGAGACCAGTACCAGTTGCAATCTGGTCTATGGCAGCTCACGGTGACCCCACATGTGTCCGTGCAGAGCTGCGCTCCGCAGGGCTGTTAAGGACGGATTTTTTTCAGAAGTTGGTCCCAGACTTCTTTCAAGGTCCCCCTAGGAGGACCAGCCCCTCCAATCTTCCCTTTGCCAGCCGAGTGCACGAACTGTCCCGACCACCCAGGGCCTCCTGGAAGAAAACGGAGGAATGCGACTTGAGGCAGGATTTCTTTTCCCCAATCTCCCCAACCAAACCAAATCACGGCCATCACGTCAATGCCGACTCTTAGCAACCATACAGGCCAGGGTAGAACTGTCCGTGTAAGTTTCAGAGACCGGAACTGTTTACGGAGTACCATGTCCTGTCTTTGTCCCATGCCAATTTCCTCCGAGGGTTCATTTGACTTCATTCCTTGTGGATAGTTAAGGGGAAGTGGCATATCAGTCGGTCAGTCTACCTGCAGGCTGAGTTAATTTAATTAGCTTGATTTCCTGACTGGAGGCGTAGTGGGTTACGCATTAGGCCACCAACTACCAGGTCAGCAGTTAAAACCCGCCAGTCCCTCTGCCTGAGAAAATGTGGCTTTCTACTCCTGTCTGTTTGTTTGTGCTGGTCTAATGGTGCCCTGCTGCGCTGAGGGGCCGTTGATAAGAGAGGAATGAGGAGAGGAGGGTGGGGTATGGCAGCCGTGACATTGTGCCTTTCCAAAAATAGGCACAGTGTCTTCCATCCATATGTTCTTCTTGCCAATGTGACTGACAATCTTCCCATTGAGGTTTGAGGTCTGTGCTGGAAACTGAGGTTCACAACTGCCTCGACCAGTTAGAGAATGCCAAAATTGACCCGACGTGGCTTCGGAGGCAGGTCTGCCTGGATCTCTTGGGATGCTCGCTCTGAGGGAGGCTAGCTGCCCTGTAAGCATCAGACTGGACCGAGGCTGCCATGTCCAGAGGAAGTCCCCATGGAGAGACCCTGAGACTCGTGGAGAGAGGGGTCCAGGCCAGCCCTGTTGCTCCAGTGCTGTGGCACTTCCGTTCCAGCCACCATCTGACTTCCGCTTCATAAGAGATCACAAGCTAGACTGCCTTGCTGAGCCCAACCCCAATAAAAGGGGAACCCTCGTGGCCATCCCCAAACAGACTTTGAAGGGAGATCAGCACCATCTCTGAAGACAGGCCAAGTGGTCAAGTGGAAAAACACCTGGACTGAGAGACAGACCTGTGTGCCCTTCTGGCTCTGCACCAGGAGGCTGCAGGCAAATGCAGCCTTTGCCCCGGAGAAGGCTCTGTGGGTCCGTCAATTGTGCATGACAGACAAGAAACGCTCTGTGGATGGGGTCCCTCTGCCGGGACTCTGGAATCACCAAGCTCTCTTCTGCCCACGAGCAAGTTCTTCTCTCACAGCATTTCCTGCGGGAAGAGGAGCTGGCCTGCTGAGACAAGTATCTGACCCACTTGGCAATCGTGTGCACTCCAGTAAATTAATACATCAGTACTCCAGGCTATCTGATCGTCGTGGCAACACTGGACTGCACTTCAGAGGACAAAGACCCCGGTGGGGGGAGGGGTCATCAAAATAAGACATGCCCACTCTGTACAGCCCTGCTGGAAAATGGGCACCTGGCCTCCCTCGTGGACGTGACCACAGCTGCAAAAAATGCACAATCTCTTCACGGCCCAAATGGAGGAAGAGAAGCCCAGTCATTCCTCAGACAAGGGAAGGCTCAGAGCTTGAAGCTGGTGGAAGCGAAAGAAGGCAGAGTGAGCTTCTGGTTCTGAAGGACAATTTGGCCTATTGTGGTACGTGTGTGCATGTCAAATCCACTACCTACAGGGCAGGGGAGAGCTGCTCTTTGGGGTTCCCAAGGCTGTAAATTGTTTTGGAAGTAACCAACCTCCTTTCTCCCTAGGAGTGGCTGGTGGGGTTGAACCACTGACCTTGCAGATAGCAGCCCATACCTAACCCACAGTGCCGCCAGGGCACACACTCTTTCTCTCTCTCTCTCTCTACACACACACACACACACACACACACACACACACACACACGCATGCACACACAAATATTCACGCATGCATGAATAGAACTCTGTGTGTGTGTGTGTGTGTGTGTGTGTGTGTATTGACAATAATTAAAAGGGCAAAAATAAGAGAGAGAGAAGCACAAGAGGTTGGCCTTTCGTGGGAGGTCAGGACTCCGATGACAGCGTTGGCTCAGGAAACCTTGCCTCTGTTCACACTGCTCTTTAACTGCTTTCCTTCCCTCCCTGTGCACCTTCATCTCTATGCACCGAAACAAAAGTCTAATAAACGTTAGGGAATCTTTAAAAAATTAGCGCTAAACTGATTTCTCTTCCAGTGCTCAGGACCCCAAAAATTCAGTCAAGATGATTCAAAACCAGGAGATTGTGGTGACAGTCACTAAAAATATACTATTGTATTGTATTTTTTGGTGAAAGCTCGCACAGCAAATCCAGTTCCCACTGAATGATTTCCACACAATGTACCCCATGCCACTGGCTGCACTTTGCACAGTGTCCCGTCGGCTTCTCACTGTGTCTGTTCCGGTTGTGCCAGTCCCCTGCCTTCTTGATTCTCCTCTTTGCTTCAGGGTTGAGTCTGAAGCCTCACATGCACGATGCTGTTCCTTGACTGTGTGTTATGTGGCCTTAGACAGCATTGGTCCTTTTGTGACTGGTGACTTTCTCTTCGCAAAAGGTTCTCTGGGTTTTTCCCTGAAATGTGGTGGTTCATAGATTCATTAGTCTTTAAAGGTGCATAGTATCAAAGTTTATTTATCCATGTATTTGTCCAAGGTTTATTTTATTTATTTTCTAACAATTTTATTGGAACTTCATTCACGTATCATACAATTCAATAGTTCAGCCATATCAAGAAGAGTTCTAAAATCTTTACCACAATCAATTATAGAACATTTTCTTCTTCCTTGTACTCATTGTTATTCACGTAAATTTTTTTGGCAAAAATGTACACAAGAAAACATTCTCCAATTCAGGAACTTCTACATGTACATATAATTCAGTGCCATTGGTTACACTCTTCATATTGTACAACCATGGTTGATATCCCTTTTCAAATTGTTCCACCACCATTAACATGAACTCAATGCCCCCTAAGCAACAACTCTTCCTCCTTCACTCACGGTGACCACAGGTCAGGTTTGCTTTCTTTATTTTAGTAGCTTTATTGATATAATAGCCACATATCATACACTTTCATAATTAAATTCATTTTTAAAAGACTTGTACATACATACATTCTCACAATCAGTTCTAATGCTCCCTCCTGCATTCATTGATGGCTCCCAAATTCCCTTCCTCCCTCCCCCATCCCGATAAGCCATTGCATCAGTTATTGGCTCTATGCATCCACTCCTTCTGTGCTTCCTAAACTGCGAAACCTAACAGAAACAATAAAAACCAAAATCAAAATGGAACAAAGAAAACAACAACAACAATAAAAAAACTAATAAAAACAATAAAGAGTAAGGCAGAGAAATCCACTAACAATACATTAAAAGACAGAGAAGAAATTTCTATCATGGAACAATCAAGAAATATTTGAGTCTAGAGCAAATTCAGGTTGGATAAAGAGAGAGGACAACTGATCACATATCATATTACACCATGATTTGATCCACCATAATCAAGTTTACAATAATTTAATAGTAAAGCGATTTGACTTTCTCACCTGACTAGATAATCTGCAGATGGCATTTGAGTTCCTACCATCTTCTATCACCTTCTACAAATTGGGTATTTACAATGTAAGCTCTGCTACTTTTCTCTCCATTCCATTTAGATTTTGTTATCATCATTTTTTGATCACACAGGCTGGTGTGCTTCTTCCATGTAGACTTAGTTGACTGCTAGTTTGCATACAAGCCTCTAGGACCCCAGACAGTATTCCAGTTGATAGCCGGGCACCATCTGCGTTTTTCACCACACTTGTGGCACCCTTATCTTTAGTGATCTTCTCTTGAAGGCGAGTATCAAGAAGGGCCATTTGATCAGAACAAACATTCTGAATTGGGGATAGAATTATGTGGAAGCCCAGAATCCATCTGCTTGTCCCCAGGTTAGGAATAACACTGCTTTACTTTGGCAGTCATATGATAACAAAAACAAAAATCAAAACCAGAACCAATAAGAACGACAACAAATCAAACAACCTTCCCTCCCCCTGGAACAACAACAACACAAAAGAAACGAAAAGGAAAAACCTTATCACTCATGCCTCTGGGGTAAAAAGCAGTTGCATTGATAACATCAATAATTCAATCATTTATTCAATGACATAGACATGCTCCCATTCTGTCAGGATCTATCTATCTGTTCCTGATCAGAATGGTCAGTAGTAGTCCATCTAGTTCTTCTGGTCAGTCTTTGTTTTTAATGTTCACACGACGTTATCAAACATTTCATAGATTCCGATTACTGAGTATCCATAATCAACAAAATGAATTGATATTTTAAAAACCTGAAATCCTTTAGGGAAATATGATTTTTAACCACCAACAAAATGAAAGTAACAAAATCTTAGGTATTTTTAAAAATCAACTGTCACTCTCCTTATATTATGGAATTTCCCAAGGAAAGCCAGAAATTCTACAAGCGCATGACAGAACGTCTTTTCATCACATTCTTCTCCCCGCCTCCTCCTCTTCCATCTTCTTCCTACATTTTGTTATTTCTAGTCCATTTTAGGTATGGGGCAAGGCCCTGGGGCGAACAAAGGGACAGTTGACCGCCCGTGTCTTTGATAAGAGTGCAATGGAGATACATGTACATGTGTATGTACATGTATGCGCATATGTATCTCTCCTCCCCTCTCTCTCCCACTGTTAGAGAGTTCGTCTGGATTCACAGGACTCCAAATATATATATGTATGTAAGTGTCACCTGCATGGTTCTCAGTGTCCATAAAAATTATAATACGTCTTAGCTGTTCTGAAGATAAGACAAAACCATCACAGAAATAAAGTGCATGTGTTCTCTTTACAATGCAACACTGTGTAAAGAGTGGTACCAAAATGACCTGGGGAGACCCTAAAAACAAAAGGAACAGGAGTGTGCTTCTACGTAATCCACCTGGTGTCAGCGGAGAGAGAGGTGGATTGGGAGCCTAATCTAGGGAATTAAGTTGGGACAGGGAGCAAGGATCTGGCACGGAAGGGGGGGCGTTCTCCAAGGCATTGGCCCCAAGAATAAGAATGCCTTTACCTGTGGCCAGAGGGCAAATGTCAGGGTCAAAGCCGGGGAGGACAGAGGTCAAGGATGAGATGTGTGTCCAGTTGTTACAGTGGGGCTCCTGAAGTGACTCTCAGGGCTGGATGTGCACAGAAGGCAAAGGAGATCTTGGCTCCTCGGGGCCGGAGGACCAGAAAGGAGGTGTCCGCCATCACTGCCTGGGCGTGGGCAGGTAGACAATTTCATTTTGCTCTGAAAGGAAAACGAGGTTTTAGTTCCGAGGTGACGTGTGGGTGTGAGTTTCCCCCTAGCTCAAAAATAGTGTGCGATCGGTGAGCAGATTCTGAGAAGTCGGCTTTGGCATTTTTAGCCTCCTTTGTCAAGATTCTCTTAGAACGTGACAAATTTTAACTGAAATTCACAAACCCCACAAGATGGAAAAAAAACCAGGTACTCACAGTCTGTGCCACTCTTGAGAGAGATGTAGCAGTGTTATTTCTCTCACTCGCTCGCTCACTCTCTCTGTTTCAGTAGCTGTTGTTGATTGGATTGGATTTACGGCTGTACTTTACCAATCAAGTAGTAACCACTCACCAGGTGTCTGAGTTGATTCTCTAGTGACTGAGTTGGTTTTGGACTTTGAGCTAACACTGTGATTTGGTACATTATCCCTGGAATTGGGGCTGAAGTCTGCCGCTACAATGCAAAGCCAAGCACCTGGCCCACGGTGGGCTGAATCCTACAGTTCAGAACTCATCAATAATATGTTGTCATCAACCAGAGCAACTAGAGGGGGAACTTACTGTGGTATCGGACTAGATGGTAAAATGACAGCAGGGAGCTTGTCTTTCTCATGGCGGCATCTCACTACACTCACCCTCCTCAGTGCTGAGAACATCCCATTGCCTTGACCCAACTCCCACTCCAGGGTCCTTGTGCATAGTAGATACGTTATATTGTATGAAGTACAAAAATACGTGGAGTCATTGAATGAATTTCTCTTTTTCTCAAGGTATCATGAGTCTATATGTCTCCCATTTCTCCTTCCCCGTCTCCTCGTGTGCTAAAGAAATGAATTTGGAAGGAAAGTGCTCTTATTTAGGACTGGAGGAACACAGTGACTAGAGGCTTGAAACAAAGGACAGAGCTCCCTCAGGAGTCAATAGTAATCCTGGATAAACTTACAGAGACAGCAACAGGGTTAATGACTCCTTGGGGGCGGCAGGTTGGGAAGAGGTGGGGAGTTAGTAAAGATGAGTACAAGAGGGAAGAAAATGTTCTAAAACGGATTGTGATGATGATTGCACAGCTCTTCTTGATATGAGTGAATCTTGAGTTGTATGAGATGTGAATTCTATGCGAGGAACACGGTTTAAAAATGTCACTGGTCATTCATCATAAGGACATGGTTTGGACAGAGAGAAATTAGCGCCACTGTAGTTGCCTGGACCCCGCTTCTGGAGGACAGCCCACTTGGACAGGAGTTGCACTACTTCATCCATGTCAGGCATCACCGTGAACACAGAGCATTTTTCACAAGCATTCTCCATGGCCTGGGTTCCCTTTATGGTGGAAAAGGTGACCCTGTCCTTTCTGCCATCCCGAAGTAAGGGCCAACCTTATCTATGCAAAGTCCAGAGTGGCAGGTGCAGAAAACACACCCCTCTGGAGCTGTACAAAAGAGATATCTCCAGACCCTGAGACTCTTGCCCTTCCACGTGCTTCTCACCTGCGTGCCTCCTTCTCCAAACGAAGACGCCGACTCCAGCCAGGACAATGGCAAGGACAACGGCTGCAGCAATGGCTTTCATCACCAGAAAGACCGTTTCTGATTCTGAAACGAAATAATTGAAGAAAATGGCACAATTCCACCCGCTTGTATATTGACTTTCAGAGACTGTGCTTGTGATCATCAGGAAACCCAGCATTATTTCCCCTACAGTGGCCTCACAGTTCTTTGATAGGGTAGTCGTCTAAAACCGTGGGCTTCAAAGCGGAGTCCAAAGACCCCAGGGGCCCGTCTCTGAAGCCCTTTCAGGGGATCCATGAAGTCTGGGTCACAGTTTGTCTGTTTAGGAATTTCAGTCTATCATGTATGTACAGAGTTTTCTAGACACTAGGTTCTGTGAAAACATTCCTGTTGCGATGACTTATGGACATATCTCTTGTTTTACACTTTCCTCGTTTTTAAATTGTAATATGATAAATTACAACACACATATAAGAGGGGGCTTCAAAAAGCTTGCGTAAAAATGGAATTAAATAATGGAATGTTTCCACAAACTTTTAAGAGCCCCCTCATCTATAGAGATATAAAAGCCACATACAGCTCTTCGGGGGTCCTCAATCAGTTCTTATAGCTTTTTATTGTGAATTAGGTGAAGGTTACAGAGTAGGCTATAGTTTTACATTCAACAATTCATCCATGTCCAGGTTCAACTCCTCCACTGCATCCCCTCAATGTACAATCACGTATCCACTTCCCGTGATTCCGTCCACTCCTCCTTCTTCCCTGCCCTCCGAACTTTGCTCTTTTTAGCATAAACAGCTCCTCGTTAATTTTTCAGAGTATCGGGGATGGGGGCGGACAACAGTACGAGAACCACTGCTTTAAAATCACCAGCTCTCCCCTCCGTTGGCAGACAGCAGTACTTCTTACTGGCCCATGTTTCTCCGCATTGCTTCCCTTACAGAGTGCCACAACCTCCATCCTCACCTTTGGGGACCTGAAGAACCATGTGGACGTCACAGTGGTCCACATGACAGGAGTAGATCTTGCTGCTCTGAGAATCAACCTCAAGGGCTATCGATGTCTGATAGGTTCCGTCTCCACTGGGAAGAATGTCCCCATAATAAATTTCTTGTATAATTTCTTCCCCATTTTCCATCCAGATCATGGAAATCTCTGGAGGGTAAAAACCATAAGCCTTGCAGAAGAGAGTTGTAATCCCTGGAGAAGTTTCTTTGCGATGTACTCTGACCAGCGGAGGCTCTAAAAAGAAGAAACCCGGGTTAAGTTAAAAATAAAACAAACCAAACCCACTGGCACCGAATTGCTTTCAACTTTCTGAGGCTATACAGCTTTACGGGCGCAGATTGCCTCATCTCTCTCCCATGCAGTGACTACAGGGCTTGAACCACCAACTCTGTAGTTAGCAGTCCAATGCTTACCTAACAGTACCATCCAAACCAAATCATGTGGACACCCAGAAAGAAAGCTATTAAACGTTGTATCATGACATAACAACAACAAACTCACTGCCATCAAGTTAATGCTGACTCATAGCAACCCTATGAGACAAGGTAGAACTGCGCCCTGGGTCTCCAAGACTGTGACTCGTTACAGGGGTAGAAAGCCATGTCTTTCTCCTTTGGAGTAGCTGGTGGTTTCGAACTGTTCACCTTGCAGATCACAGCCCATTGGTAACCACTATTTCACCAGGACCAGGGCTCCCTAAATAGAAGTGCCAATACTTTATTGATTGAGCATATCATATTAGAATTTGGGAATTGTTCTTCCTGTGGGAACATCAGAAACGAAGAATGATGTGGAACCCAGGTTCCTCATCCACAACAACAGAACAACTCATGCCCACAAGTCAATGCTGACTCACAGCTGCCCCACGTGGCAGAGCAGGCCTGCCGCTTGAAAGAGCCTCATGTTTCTCTCCTGTTTCGCTGGTGGGTCAAACCACTGACCGTCTGGCTAGCAGGTCCACTTCTGACTGGGGCTGTGTGCCTCAGGAATGTGGAGCTTGTTGACATCCTAGGGATGGGAAAAGCCTGGAGTTCCGAGTCCTTCGAAAGCACAAGGAACCACTTACAGCTAACCTTTGAAACACCTCTATGAGTCACATGGAAGAGAAACTAAGCTACATGTGTGCGACTGTTCCTGATAATTAGTTCAGCAACAGGATGAAGATTAAAACGCAGCACTCCTAGTTCCCAAGTCTGGGCTTAGTGCAAATAAATAACACCGCCCCCTCAACTCAGCTCCACCCTCAGATCGCGTTGTGTACCTGGGCCGACCCTTGGTGGTTGCCATTGGACACAAACATATGTAACAGATCACGTTGTCCTCGTGCCTTGGATGGGACTCCAGGGATTCATATCCCAGAGGAGCTCCAGCTGTGACAACAAAGGATCATCCATTCATGACCTTGCTTTCTCCCCGCTACTCAATTAATTTCTCAGATGGTATTGCCCCTAAGGTTTCCTGCTGAAATTGGGTCACCCCTAAAGGTCAGCCACACTGAGTGAAACAGCCCTCTCTGGAGGGGCAGCTCTCTGCTTCTTTCTAAGACTCATCTTCTCCTGCCATCTCCCTGCCCACCTCTGATACTGGGGGTCCATCTCCGCACCACCTTCCCTGTTCTTGGTTCTCTCCCCGCCCCCAAGCACGTAACTTAGTAATGAAAAAGCCTTTCATTTTCACTTGAAAAAGAAAACACAGATGTTTCCAGAAGAGCCTCTGCTTTCTGACAGTGCCCGGGAGAAACTGGTCCCACAGGCAGTGAAGTCAGACTCCCCCCACTTCACAGTTGCCCAGGCAGCCCCTGTTTCTCTACAGGGCTCTTCACCCCCAGACAGAACCCACAGGGGTCGTTTTAGTCCTCAAATCCCATTTCAGAGCGACTCTGTCCCCACTTCCCCACGGTCTCCCGGTGCTGGGTTCACCAAGGGTGGAAAAGGAGGCACCTGGGGGTTTCATTCACTTGTAGTCGAAGCTTTGACAACGCATAGACATTAGGAAGTTTTAAAATGTCTGTGAGGCAGGCATCCTCGGGCCTATGGCTGTCACTCAGGACGATGGCTTTGTTAGCCCAGCCTTGGACAATAGCAACCCCCCCCCACACACACACACACATTTTGGAAAATGACTCCGAGTTCATTCCAGCATCTGCTTCCACTGGGTTAGCAATGCAAAGCCTCGCAGGCAAGTGTGACCTGCACTGGGTGTCCTGGTGAGTCGCTCGCTGCCACTCTCGGGTCAAATCCCTGCCCTCTATGTCCCGGGAGGGCTACCCTTGTCAGACTGCACCTCCAGAGTGCCCTTCCTCTGGCTTCCAGTGGGGTATGGATCTGGAAGAGACCAGAGAGCTGGAGGACAGAGGTGGACGTTTATTCCCATCCACCGCTCCCTAGTCCTGAGTGCGGCCAAGGTCCGACACAGTCCCAGCTCTTGCCGGGAAGCTCTTCTAGCTGTGACTAGCTTTCCCGGGCTCTAGTCACAAGATTCCTCTCCTCGCCCCTTCAGGCCTGGGGGATGTAATGGCTTCCCACTCTTGCGAGTCTCCGGGGCGTTTGTTCACCATCGCTTGAATATCCCTCTGCAAACAGTCCCTTGCTGAAATGCTGTTCAGTTAACTAACTTTGAAGATTCCATTTAGCTTTTGGCAGGACTCTGCCTGCTACGCAGGGCTAATCTAAGAAACTCATGCTGATGGTCACACTCATCAGTCCAAGTGTGAGACATGGTGCAACTCAGGCCAGGCAGTGTCTGTCTGGGAGAGGATGATGATGATGATGATGCTTGTACGTAGGGCTGGGAGAAGAGCTAGGAGTGTGAGCTTGGTTCACAGCCACATTTCCACCTCCTGGAGAGCTGATTACATCTTGGGTTTTGATTCCTCAGGTCTCCAGACTTCCCAGATCCCCAACTTTCCAGTATCTCCTCTCTGCGTTTCATCTGGTTTGAGTAGAATTCTATTACCTACTCCATTCAGATGACGATGGGAGCTCAGTTAGTGAGTGCGGAAGTCAGAGCTCAAACTCTAGTCATCGACTTCCAAAGTCCATGGACTGAGACAGATACTTCAAGTTCAAAGCTACAAGTCTGCCTGCCACCGCCCTGAAAAGTCCCACCATCCAGGACCACTCCTTTGGGAAAAAGTACAAGGAGTTGCCTGTTACATGATACAGAGGATCACTCATTTTGAATAATATTATACCCGAGAAGTTCTGTATTAACTTGAAGTTGTCCGATTGGACCATATGGTAAATGCACAAGAGGAAGGCTGTACCACAAGGTATCTTATTAGAAATTCTTTAGTAAGCTAAGATCCTCGTCATCTTTGTAAATTCAGATTGTCAGTCCTCCTGGTGCTGTGTGAGCCCTTAGGTCTGAGAGTAAGAATTGCTCTACCTCCCTAAGGATTTCCCGACTTCTCATTGGTAGGAAACGGAAGGGTCTGCCTCTGGATCTCCCCATAAGGAAGTGTCCGTGGAGCTACTCCACTTGTTCAAGACAAGCAGAATGGCTGAGTCTTGTCACACTGTTGACCCAAAGCAACTAGGGAAACATTTCACAGGGAGTCACAGACCATGTGAGTCTAGTTCAGGGATGGGCTTTAGTACTGGGTGACTATGTTCTAGATTAGAAGAAGTTAGTTATAAAGCCAAGGGTGTTGGGAATTGGCGGGGGAGGGGGGGGGTGTCAGAGGAGGGGTTCTCTCTTTACTTTACCTACCTGTTCTTTGTAGGGTCTCTTTCCCATATTCTATGAATCTTTTTAACCAGGCAATGCATTCTGATTCCAGCCAATTCTTTTGATACTGCAGCTCATGCCGGTTGGCCTCCCAGGCCCGCTTGGTGATTACAGCCACACTGTCTATGGCTGTCCAAGACAGAGTGTCTTTCTGGAAGACCATGAAATCCTGTCCGTCGTACGCGTATTGGAGAAATCCTGTGGCGCTGCCATCCTCCAGCAACTCGCAGCCAATCATTCTCTGGTAAGTGTGAAACCCTGCAACACACAGGGGGTGACACAGCAATAGCACAGGTGGTGGCGAGACAGAAGCAGAGAAGCACCTCACTATCCAAAGCCTGTCATGGCGTCCCGGAGCCACCAGGAGGTGCCTGTTACATCAAGCCCACCTCCCCAAAGCCATCCAGTCAACTCTGACTCAGCGACATGATCGGACAGGGAAGAGCTGCTCCTGCGAGTTTCCGAGACTAACGTTTTGGTTTTTTTCCACATAATTTAAATCAGTTTATTAATATAAAATTGCTTCAAGGAGTAAAATGCTCCATGTATTATTGTAAATAATTTGAAAAAATCAGGTTCATGTGACAGATCTTGCAATATTTCTAATATTTTCTATTAATTTAAAACATTCAGACTGAGTATAATTTATACTCAGTCAATATTTTACTATAGTTAGCAAACTATTTTCATGAGGTCAAACTTTTTGGCAGAAAGAGTTTTGAACACATTGCTAAGTTTCATCTATTTAGTATCTAAAAGTTTACACTTAACTCCTAATATGTTTTAGACCTTCAATTATTTTCCTTTAAAAAAAATCATTTCATTGGGGGCTCTTACAACTCTTTTATCACAATCCATACTTCCATCCATTGTGTCAAGCACATATGTTGCTATCATCATTTTCAAAACATTTTCTTCCTACTTGAGCCCTTGGTATCAGCTCCTCATTTTCCTGCCTCCCCCCTTTCCTCCCTCAAGAACCCTTGATAATTTATAATTATTTTTTCATGTCTTCCACCGACAGCTGTCTCCCTTCACCCACTTTTCTGTAATTCATCCCCTGGGAGGGTGTTATATGTTGATCATTGTGATTGGTTACCCCTTTCTTTTTTTTTTAACCTCTGTTATATTCTTTTTTTTTTTTTAATCATTTTATTAGGGGCTCATAAACTCTTATCACATTCCATACATACATCAATTGTGTAAAGTGCATTTGTACATTCATTGCCCTCATCATTCTCAAAACATTTCCTCTCCACTTAAGCCCCTGGCATTAGGTCCTCATTTTTCCCCTCCCTCCCTACTCCCCCCTCCCTCATGAGCCCTTGATAATTTATAAATTGTTATTTTGTCATACCTTGCCCTGTCTGACGTCTCCCTTCACCCACTTTTCGGTTGTCCATCCCCCAGGGAGGAGGTCACATATAGTTCCTTGTAATCGGTTCCCTCTTTCCTACCCACTCTCCCTCTACCCTCCCAGTATCAACCACTCACTCCACTGGTCCTGAAGGGCTCATCTGCCCTGGATTCCCTGTATTTCCAGTTCCCATCTGTACCAGTGTACATCCTCTGGTCCAGCCAGACTTGCAAGTGGTTACCCCTTTCTACCCCCACCTTCCCCTTCCCCTCCTGGTATTACTACTCTCATTAGTGGTCCTAAGGGGTTTATCTGTCTTGGACTCCCTGTGTTGCGAGCTCATATCTGTACCTGTGTACATGCTCTGGTCGAGCCAGATTTGTAAGGTAGAATTGTCGTCATGAAAGTGGTGGGTTGGTGGGGGGGAGGGAGAGAGGAAGTATGTATTAAAGAACTAGATGAAGGGAGCTTGTATCAAGGGCACAAGCAGAAAATGTCTTGGAAATGATTATGGCAGCATATGTACAAATATGGTGAATACAATTGATGTATGAAATGTTATAAGAGCTGTAAAAGCCCCCGATTAAATGATGGGAAAAAGAAAGGGGACATCCAATGTCTACAGATGGGCTTTGGGTCTCCACTCTGCTCTCCCCCTCAATCACATTGATTTGATTTTTTGTTCTGGGTCTTTGATGCCTGATACCTGATCCCATTGACACCTCATGATCACACAGGATGGTGTGCTTCTTCCATGTGGATTTTGTTGCTTCTCAGCCAGGTGGCCGCTTGTTTATCTTCAAGACCCAGACACTATATCTTGATAGCCAGGGACCATCAGCTTTCTTGACCACATTTGCTTATGCTCAAGTATATACGGTGTGTGTGTGTGTGTGTGTGTGTGTGTGTGTAATGCTATAAATGTAATACCCAAAAGGTTGGTGGTTTGAGCCCATCCAATTGCTCTGAGAAATAAAGACCTGACCATCTGCTGCCATAAAGATCACTGCAAGGTAACCCTATGGGGGTCGTTGTACCCTGACCTATGGGGTCACTTTAAGTTAGAATCGACTCAACAGTTGAACAAGAGCATGGGGACAGCAGGAGAGGGAGCGCAACAAGGAACCAGAAGACCCCTGAGGAAGTCCGCACAGGAAGCCCGGAAGGGATGCGACAGGGACTATGGGGCACCAGGGAGACAGATGCTATCGAGGGCAGCTGACAGGCATGGACGCAAGCAACCCCCATGTTCCAGGCTTTGCCAAAAGCCACAGTGTAACCCAGTGACTTAGCTCACGTTCACTGTCAGTCCTGGACCCTCCGAGGAGGCTGGGGGTGGGTGTGCATTGTGAGGGAAAGTATTCATCACCTGAGTGATTGTAGTGGCTTTGCAGGTATTTCAGCTCCACCTGGAAGGCGTGCTGCCAACCCCGCAGCAGCTGGGTGTACCTCTCCCAGTGATCGGACGCCAGGTTCTCCGCCATCCACGGCGCCTGAGGCTCCTTCAGCCGGGTGACGCTGTTGTATGTGGTGATAGGGTGAGAATCCACATAGCCAACGGAAATGAATTCAGGGATCCCGTAGCCAGGATCTGAAACGCCCAGGCGAAAATATCTCAGAGAGTGAGTTCCTGGAAGGGAGGCAAAAGAAAAAGAAGGAAGGTATTTAGGGTCATTGGAGTCTGAATCTGTAACCCACCTCCCGGGGAATTACCACCCCAGGGCTCCGTGTTAAGGTACATCCATTTCTCCCATCCTGCCCCAGCTGCTGTGGTCCTCAGACGGACAGAATTAGAGAACACAGCTCAAAGCCACTGCTATGGAAGTTATCTCAACATGTGCTGTCCCTGATGCTGAGGCCCTGACAGGTCTTATGGCGGGGGGTGCATCTCCCCACTGTAGTAGTCCCCCTTAGTCCCCCTCCCCCACTATGACAGCAATCTCAGCTCCTTTTCCCTTTTCCTGTGTGAATAAAGCTGCTCTCTGTCAACGTTGGGATTTGCTTGTGGTTCAACAAAAGAATGAACCAAAGGAGCCTGTGTAAACCCAAGCAGCCTTAGTCATCGCGCAGCCATCTCCAGGCTCCTGGGCCCCAGCGCTGTGGTCCAGAGAGGATACAGGAACAGTGCTTTGGCCTCCCTGTGGGGAGGAGGCAGCCAGAGGGCAGCTAGAGGGGTCCTCTGTGGCCCATGAACAGGCTTCTCCTGACTGCATCTAGTGGCTCTCCTAGGTGCCACTTCCCCAAGTTCTTGCCACCTCCATCAACTACTTTCTTATTCTTTTCCTATTGTCTTCTGGCCACATGCCACTGTAAACAGTGTGATAAACATTCGAGGTTAAAAGTAAGTGAAGGTGACTGGCTACCATTCCTGATTGTTTTGATCAAGGACACAATAGAGGGATCCTGATCAGAACAGGGGATATGGGAAACCAAGTGTCAAATTCTTATGGAATCTGTGTTTCCTAGACCCACAGAGACACAAAGCAGTTTAAAGAAGTTGAGGAGGCGGTGGGTGCCGTTAAGTTCATGGCGATGACATGATTTGGAAGCAAAGAGCGCATATGCTGACACCCAGTGAAGATCGTACCAGTGTCACTGTGTGTGCTGTGGGAATTAAGTCACCAGGCTGGCTCATCTCCAGCAATCAGAGAACAGAGTCAAGCAGGTACTAAGTAGCTAAGGCACCAGCTGGGAGCAGCTCTGCCAATCACGGGAGCTTGGGCACCTGGGGTATGGAATGTGGAAACTGGGTGAATTAGGAAAGAGGGAGGCAGGAGGGGGGAAGGAATCTGCTCTGGAGGGAGAAACGTCTTAGGCAATGTGTGGGAAAGCTCATTCACCTTATGAGACTCAGCCAGTGAGGAATGGCGAGAGGAGGCCTGCACACTGGGGGATAAAAAATGCTTGCGGAAGGGCTGTGAGGAGCACCCCACCCCCGCACTTTGCTGGATTTGGCTCTGGGTTTGGGCACTCAATTTTGCAAAATCAAACACTAAATGCTTCTCATTAATGTGAGTGCAGATTGGATTTCTTAAGCATTCATCGGTTAAGCTCCTGTTAAGCCCACAGGTAAACTCCATGTGGGATAAAACGGTGTGTCGTACCCCACCCCCTGCCACTCCCTCCCCTCCTCGTTCTCTCTCTCTCCCCCCATCATAGAATGGCTCAGATCAGCGGTTTATACTGATCCCCCAGCTGCCAAGAGGACCCAATACTGTGTCCAGGATTTCAACAGCTTTTCTCACCATGCGAAAATTGCTGAATGGATTTACGTTTTATTGTGTATGCTCTCACCAAATGTTTGAAGCTCTCTGCCACTTCCACCTTGAACTCTTCTCTGTCTGTCTAACTGAGCTCGCCGTCTCAGGAGAGACAGAGGAGACAGCAGACAGCAGTGTGATGAGGGCAGTGGGAGGGGCAGTGCAGGAACTCTGCTGAGAAGGCTGTCTCCAGGAAAGGGAGCAGTTCAGCAGGTTGGAGAGAGAGAGAGAGAGAGAGACAGAGAGATGTCCCATGCTCAGAGGCAGGAGGCATGGGAAAGAGTGGGAGGCAGATGGTCCAGGGTGCTGGAGTTCAGCACCAGAGAGGGGAACCAGGGGAGAGGATGCCTCCTAGGCTGCCCTGCCACAGAGTGGGCACATAGTAGGCATACAGTCTACTTCCCCTCCTCTGCTTGCTGTTGTCTGAGGATCCCCATGATGGAGCCTTTTTTCTTTTCCCTCCCGCCACCTCCCACCAGTTATCCAAACCCATCTCCAAAGGCCTCTCAGGGCCAGCTTGGCACTGGCAGGGTAGGGCACATGGAGGCTCACAGAACATAGTTGCTGGTACTTAAAGGAGTACATTAAGCTAGCAAAGTGTTCCATGCCTTCTGTTTTGTCTTCCCACCTTGACAAATATCCCAGCATATAACTTACAAAATTCATTGCCATTGAGTCGATGACGACTCAAAGTGACCCTACAGGGCAAGGTAGAACTTTCCCTGTGAGCTTCCGAGACTATAGCTCTTTAAGGGCATAGAAAGCCCAGTCTTTCTCCCATAACTTCAAAAGCCAAGCTAACTTTTAGAAATTGAAGGGTTCTTAAAAGGAGCCCTGGTGGAGCAATAGATTAAGCCTTGCTTGGGCTGCTAACCAAAAGGTTGGGCGATTGAATCCACCAGCTCCTCTGACCAGTCTGGGCCAGTCTGCTTCCACAAAGATGTACAGCCTCAGAACCCCTGTGGAGCAGTTCTACGTGGTCCTCTATGGTCGCCATGAGATGGGCCTGTCTAGACAGTAGTGGGTTTTGTCTGCTTGTTGGCAGCCTTCTGCATCGGAATGAGGGAGCACTGGGAAAGCTGAGCCTGCCTTCCAGTCTCTGGCTGCATTTGGCATGAACGAAAGAGGATTGTGACCTCGTGTTAGACACTACTGCTCTCGTTCCAACTACATCCACTTAATCAACCAGCACCGTCTCCTGGCCATCCCCTGGCCTAGGCGAGCTCTCACCAGCAGCTCAGTCCACCCTTACGAATATTAACACTGCACTTACCAGGGATCCTTGGAAATAGCCATGAGGAATGAACCCCTCCCCACCTGCACGTCTAGGAAACTGACCTACTGCCAATGGTCACCCTCTCCTACGACTTTGAGAAGGCTCCCTGCTGCCTTGTTTGCCTCTAACCAGACCAAGCAGTGTTCCTGTTGCACTGACTCACGGGGACCCCAGACACGGCAGATCCACCGGCAGTCCTGCGCCATCCCCACGGCCAGCTCTGCATTGGACGATTGAGATCCATGGGGTTTTCATTGACTGATTTTTGGAAGGAAATCACCAGGCCTTTCTTCCTAGTCCACCTTCGTCTGGAACCTCCCCTGGAACCAGTTCAACAAGCAAGCCTCCGCTGACAGATGGTGGCTGTGCCTGAGGTGCTCTGACTGGAGTCAGGTCTGCATCTCCTAGGTTGGAAGGCCAAAATACGATCCCTGAACTGTAAGTGAGCTTTCCACCACTGCTATCAAGATGATTTGCACTCAGATAGAAGGATGGACTCTCCCCAATTGCCATTCTCTGCCTCCTAAATGATGAACTGAACTTTTTGTCCCCATTGAACAATCAGAACGAAACTGTTTATTAATGGGATTGGTAATGAAGCTTCTGTCCTCCCCCCAAGTAACTGGGAAGACTGCAGAGAAGGTGATGTTTTAGGGCAAGTCTTTGGTCTCAGCCTCAGCCTGAGCCAACAGAGTCCCTTTTGTAAGCATCCCAGGTCACCCCTCATCCCCCAAACAGCATAAAACATTCTGATTTAGTACTCGATGCCACCCGCGCACCCTAGTCCCCACCCCTGAGCTGCTTCCACCCTGCTTTCCTCTCACTGGTTAGAGAGAAAATGCTTTGTCCTTGACTGGGGGGCACTGGCGGGTCTTACGGAGGAACATTCTGCCATTACAGTACCACCCCCCTCCCCACACACACACACTATTAGAGCTATCTGGGTTCCTTTCCTCTTTGCCTTTCTGAATAATGTTTTCAAAGTTGGGATTTGCTTGTTGTCTGACAGGAGGATGAACCCAAAGAACGGCCTGTGCAAACCCAAGCAGCCTGTCACCAGGCAGCAGTCTCCAGGCCCCCGGGTCCCGGAGCTGTGGTCCAGAGTGGACAGGCACAGATGCAGGAAAAACCCTTTGGTCTCCTGGGGTCCTCACCCTGCAGGGAGGGATGGAGATAGAGGAGTAGAAAGCCTCATTGTTCTCACTCGAAGCTCCTGGTGGTTTTGAACTGCTGACCTTGCAATTAGCAGCCCAACTTGTAACCCAGTATGTCATCAGGGCTCCTTCTTGTAAAGACTACAACCTTGAAAATCCCACTGTGGGCAGTCCTGCCCTCTCCTATTGGCTTGCTCTAAGCCAGCAGCTACTCGATGGCAGTGGGTTTGGGTGTGAAAGGGGGATGGGAGTGGGAGCTGGAAGACAATACAACAGAACTCTCGGAGGCTGGCTGTGAGAGCCACTCTTCATAAAAGCATTGGTTCTTACAGAAACAAGAGCCAGGGAGGTGGAAGCACAGATGCTGCCCCCAAAGTAAGAGTTATCCTCTGCCTCCTGCTCTATTTATCTTTTCGTTGCTTCTACCCACTTCTCCATTTAAGGTACTTAAGAGCTGAGACTTAGCTTTTGCCCTCTGTTTTTCTTGCACATGCTTGAATCTGCAGCCAACGTTGAAACAATTCTGTTTCTCTACATCTGGAAATGTTTTGTGGCGACTCTGAAGATCTGTATCTTTCATTTTCAGTTTCTCAATACCGATTCATAGATTCAACACATATGTGAGTGACTCCTTCATGCCAGTCAGGGTCTTAGGCCCTGGGCACACAGCAAACAGAACAGATAAAAACATTAGACCAAGGCAAAATAAACAACCCTGAGGAGAAAACAACAGGACCAACAGTTCTGAGGGACAGGGGAGAGGGGGGCATGGGGGAAAGAAAGGGGAGAACCAACAAACCCAGGGAGAGGGAGAACAAGATGGTGAGGGGGGTATAGAACGCCTGGTGGGGTCTGATCAAGTGCAATGTAGCCAAGAGGAATTACTGAGAGCTGAATGAAGGTCAACCATGATGGTGGGATAGGAGGAAAGCAAAAAGAA